ACCGTTAAAGGTTTTGAGGAATGAGAGTTTAAGCAATGAAGAGCAATTTATCTTGAATACCTAGAAACACGAGTTTCAAAATCACCTTCTTCCAGTTCTTGATGAGCAGCTGATGAGTGCAGTAAAAACTCAGGGAGCCTGGACTCCATGGACTTGGCTGCTATTTTCTAGTCATCCTCAGCTTTTCTTTGTTGAGGACTGGCTGAGCTTGGTGGCTTGGCGCTTGGGAGAGCCGTTGCCCACAGATGGAGGGTAACTCCTAGAAAAGCATCTTCTTGTAATTAATTGTAATTACAAGGGAACACACACGCTTGTCTGCTTTTTAAACCAGCAGGAGCTTCCAGGGGTTCTTTTGGGGACATGTACCTCCTCCTAGCTAGGAGTAAACCACATGGCATTGCAACCTCAGTTATGAACCCTCCTGGACTTGGAGAAGCGTTTGGATTTGTCTCAGTTGAAGTTACAGGAATGTGAGGCTTTCTCTGCCTACAGGATCATCCCTTTTTCCTGCTACAGGAATATGCCCTTAAGCAAATCACCTTAGAGAGGGTGGGATGGGCTGAAGGACAGAGCAAACTGAAAAGACAAGTTTGAGTCGGGGGCAGCAGGTCTGAGTCCATTTTGCTGTTAAAGCTTTTATATCTGGGAGTTTAATGATGCAAAAAATTAAATAGTCAGGAAAACTAGGATGAGCTGGTGGAGCACTGAAGTGAGTTGGTGCTTGTGCCGTCCCAAAATGTCAGGGTTACAGAAACTGAGTCACTTCTGTGCTCCTGAGCGAGGCTTTTCCATCCAGCTGACCGCAGCAGCACCTTCCTGCAACAAGATCTGCCTGCCTGATGCCCAGACAGCATCATCCCACCTTTCCTGGCCACACCACAACGTGAATTGGGAGCTTACTCCGTGAGACATCACATGTCTGCTCGTGAGCTGCTTTAGTAACAGTATTTTTATTGTCAGATAACATGCCCTAAATATTCAGTACACACATTCCTGTCATGAAAGAAAACAACAACACAAAATTCTCAACAGCTGTTCCTTTGTTGTTCAACAACAACAACAAACCAAAAACAAAACAAAAACAAAAACACAAAACAAACAAAAAACAAACAAAGAAAAAAACCAAACAAAAACCCAACTACAAAGCAGAACTCCAAGGTCATGTTATTCCTTTACAGGGGAGGAAATGAAGAGTCTTGAAACATTTTAGTGAGCTCGAGAATTTGCTGTTGTGCATTTTGAGATGTGAGCTTTCCTGCCTTGAGATGAGAGTCCTGCTGAAGGACACGTAGCTGCACTATTGCTGTTTGAACTTGTCCCCAGGAGTCCAGGAGGTACAACCCAAACTGAACAGTGTCCTACAGTTATAGAGGATCCCACAGGAGATCCTAGGAAAGGAGGGAACGCACTCTGTCCCCTCCTTGGATAAAGCAGTAAGGCTTGTGTTAACATTGTTCCTCTAAAAATCACTCACAGACTGTTTTTCCAATTGTGCCTCTTTACCTGATCTGTGCCAAGAAGGAAATTCAGCCTCTGGGTTATGGGAGCAGTGGTGTGTGCACACTGAGATATGCTGTTCCTCAGACAGATGAGAGCTCCAGAAATGCTTCTCAGGTGTTTGAAAAACCCATCAGCCTTCCAGTGCCAATTCTGAGAGATACTGAAAGGAGAAAGTGCTTCCAAGCAGTAGATTACCAAGGTAGCAACATATGCAGCTGTGGACTGAGTCAGCTCATCAGAAGATGCTTCCTTGCAGCGAAGTGGGGAAAATGAAATCTGCTGTTTAACAGGTGACACGCAATCCTTTGATGTCAGTTTGCCTTCTGCCCAGCAGGGAGATGCCCAGGAGATGCAATGCCCTTGCCTGTCTGTTTGCTTGACCTGCACCTGCTTGCAGGAGGGAAGGATCCAAGTCTGCTGCTGCTGCTTCTGCAGCAAACAAATGATGCTCTCCCCAGCTGATAATTTCCCTGCCACAGCTGTTTGTGTGTCCTGTTGCTTTGGTTTTTCATAAAATTAGGGTATCAGGCTGCTTATGAATAATTTTTATGCTGTGTGTTTGCTGCCAACACTTCTGGCTCATCAGGAAGCCAGCCCTCCTAACGCTCATCAGGGACAGGGAGAAATCCCCTCTGCCACTGCAGTCTTCTGTAAGCAGCACAGTTGGACAAAAGCACCACTAATTCGGTTTGGAGTAATCAGGAATCCCCTTTGGGTAGCTTGATTCTTATTTCACAAGAATATTCTGAGTGGGGAAGGACCCACCAGGATCATCAAGTCCAGCTCTTCAGGGAATGGCCCATGCAGGGATCGAACCCACAACTGACGAGTTCAGCTGTTTGACTGAGGTCAGAGTAAAGGTTGCTTTTGGGGTATAGGCAGCTTTGAAGTTGCACCAAGCTGTGTCTGCAAACTTCAGTGTTTAAAAGAGATGTCCTGTCACGTCCTTTAGTCCTTTTGGGGTTTGGATGCTGGGCCATCCAAGAAGCACTGAGGGCGAGTGATGAGTTGTGGTTCAGTGCAGGAGAACTGTGAGGCACTGGCTCTCACCTATGTGTTACTTGGATAATTTATCTTATTTAGGGCTTCTGGGCAGAAAAAAAAAGGGGTTAGTATGTTTTCTGTGTGCAGGTATTGCAAGAACAAACCACACGCAGTCAGTGCAACGTGCCTGAGACTCAACCTGTTCATGGACCAACTGTGAAATTCCTGTGCAGTGATTTTGACAGTTCTCAGAAGCAAAACAGCATTTGTTGGAGGCAATGGGTCAATCTTCACACAGATTTCTGTCAACAATGGTTTTCTTGCATAAATTGTCCTTAGACTGGTATGTATGGATTTGTAAGAATTTCTGGGTAAAGATTATCCATATGTGAACCTGGGGGGTCCTTATGTTTGAGCATCATTCCTTCTGTTGCCTGATTGGTGATAGCTTGCATTGTGGAGATGTGGTTTGTGCAGTTTTGGGGTCTCATTTCTGAGTCCACTTGGGCAGAGAGGCTCTTGCTGGACAAGACCTAATTGGTAAAATGATCCCCGGGGTTTACATTTGGAGCAGCGCCTTGGGAACTGATGGGGGTCGGCAGAGCTTTACAGGAAAATCTGCCCAGAGCCTGTTTGCATTTGTCTGCCTTTAGCAAAAGCTATCAAGTTAATGCTAATTTAAATTCTCACTTAGGCATCTGTAGGTATAATTGCATAAAGCACTGTGCATTAAATTACATCCACACATGGATTTGGAATAAGAGCCTTCAGAAAGACTACATATGTTCGCCTATTTCCAAAATACACTGGCCACTGAAGATCAAAAGCTATTAGGCATCCTTTTTTTGCTTGGAAGCGTAATTAACTAAACTTACCCTGGGTTAGTTATACCCTGCTACCAGTTCAATTCCCACAGCTCTCCCATCAATGTCATTGGGAAACACAGCCCTTAATATTTAATGAACCATTTTACTGATGGCTCCCAAGTCCATGGACTGCACAAGTTGGTTATGGTGGGTAAATAAAACCCACAAATCCTACAGAAGCTTAAATCTCAGCTGTAACATGCTGTGGTTAATCACTACAGCCATGTAATGCCTGGAACTAGGCAAGATTCTAAAGGCGAAGTCAGCCTGAAACCTGCATGAAAAGCAGAGCCAGAGGGAAAATCTCACCTGCATATGCCTTGTTCTTAGGATTCCAGAGTCAGGGTTTGGGTTTCCTTTTATTATTTTATTATGCAAAGTGCAATCTTTGAGGTGTTCCTTTAAGGAGAAATGACTCCTGTCACTTGGAGCTCCCAGGGATGACCCGCTGTGAGTGTGTTCCCTGATGGCACACGAGGACATGTGTCTGCTGGGCCAATTTGCGAGGGGGAAGGCTGTTGTTGTCATTGGAAACTTCACCACTTTGTCCTTGAAAAATTGCTAATACCTAGTTTTTGGTCTCACATAACTTTCTGCTCAGCCTGTGCATGCTGCTCTCAGTGCTGAGCTGTCTTAACACTGTATTAATTTCTTCTCCTCCGTGTGCATGGGTAGAATTGAAATCTCTCTTGGGGAAGAAGCTTGTTCCAAAGAAGTTCCTAAACAATCAACTGAAGAAAACCTTGAAATGTTCTTTCACTTGATTTAATAATCCCTGCCAAGTGCATATGGATGCCAGGTTTTCAGCCTGGTACTGGAGCTGAGCCTTGAAGAAGGAACTGTCTATGCAAGGTTCCTGCTTCAGTTTTGGGATCCAGTGCTGATTTCAGCCAAGTCTAGAGAGCAGCAATGATACACACACCATGTCTGTGGGGTTCAGGAAAGTTGAGGTTTGCCCCAAGGCAGGTGCTGTGGTACCAGTCAGATCCTGCCTGCAAGGCGTGGGCTTTTGGGTTCTCTGGGAACCCCTTCACCTGGGGCAGACCATGTCACGAGCATCTCTTGCTGGGCTTCACTCCCAAATCCTCCATTAGTGCATTTTGAGGGTTATCTGGCTTCACTGGCCGAAGATCCTCTGCTGAGGTACCTGCCCCTTTAGTTTCTTCCAGGTCCCATCAGATTTCACAGCCTTATATATTTTTAAATCCTCTGACACTTGAAGCTCTGTTCCCCTGCAAGGCCTTCTCCTAAATCCCTCAGCTCTTCAGAAGGCCCCAGGGGGACAGTGTTTGCCAAGGGTGAGCCTGTTCTGGTTCTGTGGGTGATGCCTTTTAGCAAACAGCATGTTCAGAGACACGCTCTGCTGGTCCTGCCTATTGCTTTTGCAGAGAGGAGTGAACTGGGATATGATAAATCACTAAATCTTCAGTTCCAAATGGTGCCTGGGATGTAAACAGTGTGCATAAACTCTCCTAAGTGGTTTTAGATTTGTCTCTTAATATTTCTTCCTGCCCACCACATCACTGTTGCTCTAGAGTGTGGTATCTGTTAGTAGCTCAGTCTTGTTTTGTGTGGATATTTATGCTAACATTCCATATCTTTGGGGGTTCTTTGGAAAATTTTGATATTGAATTTTTTCTTGGCTTTCAGGAAAACGAAGAAACAAAGAAAAACATCAAAAAACCCACACACACAAACAAAACGAGAAGGCAGGTGGCCACACATGGCTCAGGCCTGAGTGGTACAGGAAGAGCGTTGGCTGGTGTGCAGGGCAAGAGAAGAACCTCTGCAAGGCTGAAAGGAGCATCCCATCTCCACAGGTGGGATCCCGTCTCCAGGTGAGTTTTTTAATGGATTCTAGTGCTGGGAAGTTCTGGAAAGAGTGCAAGTCCCTCATGCCAGGTTGGATGTCTTGTTCTTAAAAATGTGCTCTTTGAGCTCTTCAAGAGCACAGTTTTAGAGTTCATCCTGGCATTCTCCATTCTTGGTGGTTCTGCCGTGGGCTATTTTTTTTTATTAACTCCCCTTTCTCCTCCCTTTTCCCTGATCTCATTCCCCCACTGGATGAGGCCTGACAGCTGGAGGGGATGTGAATCAGGTGCAACTCTGACATTACAGCTTTAAAACTGGCCCGTCTTTTTCCTTTCTCTGACGACGACGATGCAGAGCGAACCCACGGGAGAGACGTGTGGCAGGGAGGGGATTTCATCTGCTCACCCAGTTTGATGTTTAATGCATGAGGCAGAACCCCAAGCACTTGATCAGGATATCAGGGTAAGCTGCAACAGAGCATGTTGACAGCAGCACAGTGGCTACATGACAATCAGGATCAATCTGATCTATGGAAAGGTTTAATCCCTCTAGCAGTGACACTGTGACTGAGCTGAGCCCCAGCCTGGGCCTGACTTAATCCCTGAGCTGTGTAGAACCTTTCTCTGGGCGTTCCAGAGGCTGGGACAGTCAGAGAGGTTGCTTTCCATGAGCACAGGATGGCAGCTGTGTGCTAAAACTTGCTGCCTCCTCAGTAAGTGATTGGGTGAGGAGGGATTTAAAAGAAAAAAAATGTTACAGTGCCTTTGTTGGTCTTCCTGAAGTAAATTAGAAGAGGTTTGCCTAAGCTGGCTGTTGGTGATTTGTGGCTTTTTTTAAAAAATGCTTTTACTTTATGAACAAATATGCTATGAAGAGGGCTTCAAAGGAAAGATGACTAGTTAATATTTGACTTTCTGTGGCTAAATTCACCAATGAAATGTATGCTGCCTTGTTTATTGTCACTCATACTTAATACAGACCATTACCAAGCTGTTTGGTAATTGTTTATCAGCCATCAGCATCAGGAGTGGATTTGATCAATGACACCCCCAAAAGTAGGAAGGAGAGAAAGGGGTTAAGCTGCAGGCAGGAAAGGGAAGGCAGAAATCAAGCAGCAAACAATTGGCACCTGGGCTCCATTGAAGACTAAAAGTGGAAAAAAATGGCTCAATTGAAAAATCTGCCTATTGTGTGTGCCTGCAGCCTCCAAGGGAAACAAACAAACCCATTCAAAGGAAGGAAAAAAAAAAAAGCCAAATAATTAAAAAAATCCTGTGCTGTTGTGCAGACTTGGGGTGTTTAACTCTTCCCAGCCCAGGGGTGGAAATAATGTTTGTAATCAAACCATCTCCCTCGTTAAAATATTTAGTTAGATTGAGTAATTTAGTAATTTCTTAGCTTCTCCTTTTGGCGTTTTCCATCAGCAGTTGGAGCTGCTGGGGGATCCCAGAGTGGTGTTGGATGTTCTGGAAACCCTGATCATGGTGGGACAAGTGGAGAGATGATTCCTGATTTCCATTTCACAGGTATCATAAAAATACAGAACTGTTTTCCCACTCACTTCAGTGTTGCTCGGGAGGTCTCCATAAGTTTCCTAGAAGTGTTTTCAATACTTTTCTACTTTAACTGTAGTAATGACCTTCTCCAGAGTTCACAGGCTGCAGTAGGTTTCCACTGCACAGCAAGTCAGTGAAGGCTTTTTTTGCTTCCTCAGCAATGAGTTGCTGAGAACCCCTGCAAAATGTTTGGGAACCCTCATATATCACTCCTGGACCTGATCCATAGTGAGGACAGTGCACAGCAACGAGCCTGGTGCTCTCTGCTGTGTGGCCCACATCACTTTATTGGATTATCAGCTTGGAATGATGCCTTTATTCACGTGGGGCTCACCAGAATTGCTGCTTGGACAAATATTGGATAAGCTGTCCCAGTCCCAGCTTCCTTGGACAAGCAGCTTTGGAGCAAATAGTGCTAGGTGGATGCAAGGTATAATTTCAGTGAATTATCCTATCCAGCTGTATTTTGCAGAGCACAGAGATGCTTCAGCCCAGTTGTTTGCCATGTGAAATTCAACAGCCCTGATGGCATCAGCATTACCTCGAGCACTAAAGGCTCTGGGCTTCAGCAAGCAAAATAGCATTTGCAATGAAATGTGAGACTCCAAGAGGTCAGTTCTTCCCATAACACTAAAGATGTGTTTGTTCTGCCCCTTAAATTTCGATTTACCTCATTTCTGAATGGCTACTTGTGCATTTTTATGAAGTTATGTTTGAGTATGAGTGATTTGCAGGGTTTTTAAAATCACAGAATGGTTTGGTCTGGAAGGGACCTTAAAGATCATATAGTTCCATCCCCTCTGCCATGGGAAAGGACACCTTCCACATGACCAGGTTGCTCCAAGCCCCATCCAGCCTGGCCTTGAACACTTCCAGGGGTGTCTCTCCATGTTCAACCCTGCTGTAAAAAAGTGTGATGTGGGCAGTGTCAAAGGCTGATGGAGCTAATTTTAGACTATTTATACTTGAAACCAGAAGACTTTCCCTTCCATATTTGGCCAAATGAACATAAGGATTGGGTTTGTGTGCTGTAAGATATCTCCAGCAATTACTTCATTAGGCAGTGAATTCCACTGTCCTTTATTTTCTCTAAATCTTTTGAGGACATATTATTTCATAAAGTATTTTAATATGCATTTTGGTGTCATGACTTACTGTTTCAGAGATTTTTTTTTTATTATTATTGTTATACAAACTAGAAGAGATCCTTTTATTTTGCCTTTTCCTCTTTAATTTGTCCTTAGCACTGCTAAAGCAGTTGTGCTGGTTCTGAGGTTTCAGTGCATGAAAGAGCAGCAGTGGAGGGTTCCTGTTATTAAAAAAATATCTCTAGCTGTGTTTGGAGCTTTTGCAGCATTTTCGTGGCATTCAGGTATTTGTCTTAATTCTGTTCTATTAAGCTTGAAAACAGTGGTGTCATTTCAGAGGATCAGAAATTTCTGTCCATACGCTGCTCAGGCTGCTGACCTTGAGGAACTTAAAAAAAAAAAGAGTCCATCCCATGCCTGAGCCCCCAAAACATCTTCACAGTCCTGGCCAGGGGTGGTGCCAAAGCTGGTTTTTCCCTTTTTTAACATGAGATCTCTGTTGGTTTGAGCACTCCCTAGAAACTCAGAAGCTCTGGGTCCCAGGTTTCTTAATGAAAAGCACCTTCATTTTTCAGAGTACTTAGAGCTGTTTCTAGTGCCCCAAAGCTGCAGTATCTTGTGCATATTCTGCATGTTTGTGCACATTCTCCTTCTCTTTCTGGTCTAGCAAATGCTCAATTATGCTGTAAAGAGTGGCAAAGCTCTAAGAGGAGAGTCTGCTGCTACTCCAAATGTTTTTCAGCTCGGGGAGGTGGGTGGGAGTTCCTGTGAGGTTTCTGCTGGGGTCTCTCCTGCTCTGGTCGATGCCCTGATGACTGGGCTGGGTTACTGGAGCTTTCTGTCCTCTAAACAAGCTTCTAAAGGTGTCCTGCTCATTTACCTGGAGATGTTTATACTGTTGAGATGTAGGTGCAGGAGCAGGCAATGAGCTGCTCTCCAGGGAGAGGAGCTTGGCTAATTAGATGAGTGCCCTCTCAGAGAGCTACTTACTGGCAGTCCTGCTCCAAGGGGACTTTGTCTCATCTGCCTTGAGCAGAAAGCACATCCACCAGAAGTTTGACTTACAGGACTACAGAATTAAGTCACCTGCCAATGATTGTAGTGCCCTTTGCAGACCAGCCCCAGGCCCTGCTCTAACGTTATCCCTTCCACATTGTTAACAAAAATAATAGTGCCAGCGTGTCAGGAGTTCAACTAAAAGGCTAAAAGCAGAGCCGTGGTGTTTGCCTGCCTTTGTACTTTTAGACTTTTAGCAGTGTTGAATTATGAAAGCACAACTGGCAGAAGTGGCAGAGCAAGGAGCTGGAAGCCCTGCTCCCGCTTCCAGGATCGTGGATTTAATGTCTGCTCGTGTCACATACGCCGTGGGTTCCAGATCAGGTCCATTTCTACATATCCTCAACACAGAGTTGCTCCATGCGTGGGAAAGCATGGAAAAAGCCCAGGCATGGGAGTGTGGGAGTGGTGGGGACTGCAGTGCCTGGGCACAGCTGGGAAGGGGAGAGGGGTTTAGTTGTTGGCTGTAGCATCCACCTACCCACCCACCCTATGCTTTGCTCTGCCTTGCACCATCAGTCCCTTATCAGCCGAGGTTTTACCTTGAACTTCCAGCAAGGCACCCTGTCAGGAGCATGATGGTATTAGAAAGGCTTTTAACTAATTATATCTGAGCTTTAAGTTTCCACAAGGAAAAAAAAAAACCTTGAGAAATTCATATCTGCTTTGACAAAGCTCACCCCTGGTGATACTTTATGGAGCAGCTCCATCACTGCTTGCAGGGCAGTGCCACCTCCTCGAGGAGGGGAAGGGGGCAGGAATGAGCTCAGTGTGGAGGCACCAATGGCACTGCCAGCCCAGCAGCTGATGAATATTTCAGAGGACACAAGGGAGCAGTGACTTTGTGGCAGATTATACCAGCCAGTGTCCCCTCTGCTCCTGTAAATGCTCCTGCATCTGCTTCCTTTGCTAACCCACTGTTCCTCTCAAAACCAAAATAAGATGGCAAAAAAAAAAAAAGTACCAATTTGCTACTGTGCTTATTTGCATTAAAAGTAAGGGATTCTGTTAGGATGTGACAGTAGTGCACAGCATGCAGCCTGAACGTGGATTATTAACACCGTGTATTCAGCTACAGCACTAGAAAACAACATTTATGGTTGAGCTTATGGGTAAAGCACACCACAGGGATGCTCCAGCCCCAAGAAAACACACACTCGGGAATTTGGATTCAAACCTAACTCTAAGTGACATTTGAAAGAGAAGCCCAAAGGTGTTAAGACGTAGAAATACAAAAATAAGCACCCAAGTCACCTTAATTCTGCCCTGAAATGAGGTTACAAGTGGAAACGTAAATTTGGGATTATTCTTTCATTACTTAGTCTCCAGTTAAATTGACTTAGTCATGCTTACTTGTCTCATTAGTGATGAAGGAAGAATTAAGGCTGTTGGCTTCAATCATAAAATTAAAACACAAGTTGTTTCCAAAATCCTCAAATCTCTGAAAATAAGCTCACTTTCCAGATTGTGGGGCTTGATAGTTCTTAGTCATTCCTGTCCACAACATTATCTTACCCTTGATGCTCTCTTTTTCTTTTACAATACTTTCTGGCATGCTAATACTTATTAAAGGGGGAAAAAAAATTGTACACAGAGGATTCTGAGACATAACATTCTTATGGATAACAGTGCAACAGTTGTATCTACTTTTTCCTGCTTTTGGCATTTTTATGGCACATAAGGATTCAGGGAGCTGTTTTGTCTTTAGCACATACAGTAGGTGGCCAGGAGACTTATGTTGCCTGAGTTGCTTTGCAGGGCCTTTCAATCTGCTCCACTGTCCTCTCAGTGGGAATTGAAGTCTGTTTGCTCTGCAAGGCCACTGTCTGAAGTGTGTCACACAGCAAGGTTGACCAGCCAGAAGCCTCCTCAGGCACTCTGCCAGGTGGCCTCTGCCTCGCTCTCTGCATCGGAATCAGAGCTGAGGGCAAAAAATATTCATTTGGTGGGGTTTAGGAAGCAGACAAGAGTCTGCTGTTTCTTGTCTCCTGCTGGTGTGAGGAGCTGGAGTGAGACAATCAAGCTTCAAAAGCCTTTTACTTCCCATATTCATATGTATAATTCAAGCTGTTTCTAAGTGGAAAAGCCCCTTGATAGGCAGGGAGCAGATGTGACTGACTTTTGGACCTGCCAGCGTCAGGAACACAAGGTGAGTAGGCAAAATTTGCTTGGCACAAGAAAGTAGGAGGAGTCTCCTCCCAAATTGCAATTCATCCCTATCCCTAGAAGTGTTCAAGGCCAGGCTTGATGGGTCTTTGAGCAACCTGGTCTAGTGGAAGGGGGATTGGAGTTAGGTGATCTTTAAGTTCCCTTTCAACCCCAGCCATCCTGTGCTCCCTGCACTGAAGCCTGTGGGCAGGAACAAAGCTCTCTTCCCTCAACCGCTAAGAGATTCAAAACCTAAGGTGTTCTGCCTGTTTATTAACCCTCATGGGATTTCCAAGCACTTGCCCAGTCCAAGCGCTGCTCCTGAATCTCACTGCATTTTGGCATCCTTGGGCAGAGAGGCCGTGGTTCTCCCCCATCACGTGAAGATCCATCTCTTTTTAACTTAATTTTGAACGTGCCTTTTACTAGTGCCAGTCAATGGCACCTCTTTCTTGTGCTGGAAGAGAGAGTGAGCAACCGATGTCTTCACCTGCTCTGTGCCACTCAGAGCTGTGCTCTGTGTTGTAGCTGATGAGGGCTGGGGGAAGACTTAGACCTGAGTGCAGGAAAACAGGCTGCCACTGCCTTTGACCTCTCATTGTTCTCCTCGAGGAGCTACAGCTGGGGAAATGAAGAACAAGTAGGGCTGTAGCCTTTCAACAGCTGCTGTTGACAGGGCTAATAAATGGGATTTTTAACCGCTTCCTGGCAAAAGTCAAAATGTGTTTCATGCAGGATGTGATGCACAAAGGGTGGTTTCCCTGAAAAACCCGGGACTGTAATATGGAAGTTAAACTTAGCAACGCCATTGTGAGACAGAAGGGTTTCACTCCGGGTTTAAGTGCAAAACTTCAATACAGAATTAAGCAGGATGCCATAATCTCCCTCCAACCAGTAACTAAGATAAAAATATCCAAGACCAAATGCTGAAATATATATTTTTTTAGATATTTAATAAGATCTGAGCAAGAGCATAGCATTTTATTCTGAAATAAGAAATCTAATGTCAATTCATCCTCCTTAAGGTACAAGCTGCTGGAACTGTAGGTTTCATGAGACTCTCAGCTTTCCTTTTTCTTTTTCTTTTTTTTGGTTTCTTTTTGTAAGGAATGCAAGTTTCAGGACTTGTGAGGGAAAAAAAGCTGAAAATGCAACCCAAATGTATGCCTGGAACGCTGAAGCATGTCAGAACAAATAAAAAGGCAACTCAATTGGTTATTTCCATTTAAGTCCCAGCAGTTTTGGAGGCTTGTTTTGGCACGATCAATTAGCTCCTCTGTGCTTTTTCACCTTCCACTGAAGCAGTGGGAGCTTTACAAGTGCTGTTTTATAATCCTCAAACAACCTACTAATGCTTTCGTTTCCCATCAATTTGTTGCCAGGCACAAAGGGGTTTAATAACAAAATGACTGATGACTCTATTTAAGCAGAACATTAGCCTAATGACGTATGAAAGTGTAGCAGAGTTGTTAGCTCATGTACAAATGTGTTCCTTAAAGAGAGACTGAGGTTGCCTGGTCTGGTGTCCGAGTTGGTTCACTGCTATTTCTTCTTCCTATCCATCTTCTCTTTGAAGTTTTCCTGAACACTGCCATTATCTGAATTGCACTGTGGGGTTTTTTTATTTTTTTTTTTCCCAGAACAGGTGAATCTTTACCTTATCCAGCAGTTTTCTTCAAAACACCAGTAATTAAGAGCCAAAAGCACAGCTGAAGCATTTAAGAATCTGGCCAGCAGCTCATGCTCCTGTGGATGCCACAAGTGCTGTGTATGACCCCAGTGCTTCCAGACAACCCCAGCTCCTGAGGACTGGGCTAAACTGGCTTGCTGCAGCAGGGCGCTGCTTAAGCCCTGCAGAGCATCCACTTTACACCTGGGAATCAAGTCCAAAGGCTCAAGCTGGAAAACTCATGAAAGGTGAGCGACCCATGAGAGGATGAGATCTAATACCAGCACTACAGGGATCACAGTGTTTTGCAGCATGATGTCCTCTCCTTAAAAGCATGACTTAACTATTGTTGTGGTTGTGTTTTGCATACTTGGGGCCTGTGGCATGGATATCTGGCTCCCATCACCATTTCCAGTCAGCAGTCATTGGCATGTGCCTTGCCCCTTCTTTTGCATTTTCTAGTGGTCCCAGACACACAGCTGTTGCCTGGGAAGCAGCAGGACCTTGGTGCCACCTTTCAACCTTCTCAGAGCAGGAGCTGCTTTCATGATACTTGTAGGTCCCTTCCAACTCAGGATATTCCTTGATTCCATGATAACTCCAAGAGCAGCAAGTTCTTTAACGAAGGACTTGGCCAGCAGTACCGTACCATTGCTGCAGATATATTAAGGGCTGTCTAAGGGAAAGCAGGCTTTGTGCTGCATGGCCAGGCTCATTTCTGAAGCAACCAGGATGGCAGAGTTTCTGCTGAGCCCTGCATCTTCCATCTTTAATGGGAGATGTTTCATTAAAGCCTCCCAGCTCTAACAGAGTCAATCTTTGTATGAATGAAAACTCACCTGACCTCCACTTGAAACCTCTGGTACTTTTCCATTATCACACACTTAGAGGAAGTTAGTGCTTGAGCCAGTGCATTTATAAAGATTATGCAGGCTACAGCACCATTTTACAAAGGCTTTTCACTGCACGTTTATTTTTCTTCATCACTTCTAATGAGTGTTTGGCCAAGGAAAGCTCCAGCTCCATTTTTAATGCTGCTTGTCCCTGGGTGACCAGCTAAGAAATACTTACACAGTTATCCTCTGCCTTCAGCCTAAATGTCTCACTGCTGGATGAAAGGGTCCCTCCTGGTACCGATCCTCTCTGCAGAGCGTGTGTCCACCCTGGATACCTGATGACAAATGGACTGTGACTGATATTCCCTTTATACCCAGCAGCCATTTACCCTGCTGGAGTTGTTCTGTCACACTGGAGACTATGGGGAGGATGGTTTGCAAGTCTTTTATACGTAAAACACAGCTATTTATAGCCTGGATACTGTACAGGAATGGTGGGAAGTGAATCACCGAAGATGTTTTGATTACCTGAATAAGACTCAGTTTCCAGTTTATCCTAATGATGAAAATACTCTTCCCTAGAGATGAGCATGTTGTCTCCTGTCACTCTGGCAGCCCTACAGAGTAGGGCTTTGCCCCTTTCAGATCTGGCTAATTTAGGAGAAGGACCTGATTGGTGATCTGGCTGATTTAGCTCTAAGTTAAATTCGGTATGTGGTATGAGGGAGAAAGTAGTTGCTCTTTCTCATTATATCATGGATTTTTCTAGCTGAACTCAGGCCAAACCTTCAGACCATGCTGTTCAGGAAGGAAGTTCTGCCTCAACTTGGCTGGAGTTGTCATCCATGGGCAGAGACAGCTTATGTCTCTGGCAAGGCTCCAGCACTTCCCTAGGCTCTGCTTTCTGCCCTGCTCCTACTGGTTTTTATCATCTTCCAACTCAGTTTGCCACTCACAAAACATCATCTGGAGCAGCCACAGTGCAGCCTGAAAGGAAAGCCCATGGGAAGGAGCTGGAGATGGGGAGCTTCTCCTCCTCTTATCTATAAAGAACCTCACACTGGGAGCCTAAGGAGGGCTAATTAAATAGAATGGCTTATAAAATCATCAGAGACTTAATCTTGGACACGCTGATGCCTTCATCTGGTATTTCCTGCCGTTGTCCTGGATCTCAGACACCTTTAAGCCTTAAAATTTTTTAAGATACTTCTGATAGAAACAAGGAATGGCAGGTAACTCATTTTTCATGTGTTTCCAGGTGGGGCACACCTATATCATGGATATAAAGTGGGAAACCAGCTTGAAATGCAGCCCCCATAGTGCAAGGAAAACATCTGTGATGAACCATGTCCCGTGCTAGGTCCAAGATACAAATCAATGGCATTTCTACATGTGATAGAAACATTTCTATTGACTGTGGGTTTGGGTTTTTTTCCTACATTTCTGTGGAACCATGCTCTTTACCATGCAGGCTGTCACACATTGATCAGCCCAGTTTTATGCTAAGAAAAGCTGTGCTGGTGATAATGTTCTTCTGCCTGCAGAAAGAAAGGAAAAAAAATCCATTTTTTGTTACTTGGAGAATTGAAAATCAATGTTATTTTTTACTGTCTGCAAGTCAGCTATAGCAAAAGTTGGGCCAAAATCTCTGCAGGTGTAAAGTAGTACAGATGCTCTGGCTGGAGGGTGCTCGTGCCAGCTGAGCCAGATGGGGTTTATTGCTTGTTTGATCAAATTAAAGGATATTTGTGTCTCACACCAAGTGTGACAAAGAGATTTGTAAGCAGGAGCATTAAGGATGATAAAAGTCATGTATACAACTTATTATTAAATGACAAATCAGGCTTGTGTTGCCAGCACAGCCCCCACAGCGTCCCACTCCCAGTGAGGTAAAATAGGGCTGATATTTGCATGGTGTGAGCAGTGAACATCCTAAAAACTGAGAGAGGCCCCACTGTTCACAACAGCAAAGAGCCCACACCATTTCCTTCGGTGTTTCCCAGTCCTGTAAAGCCCTGGGGGCACAATGATTATGGGGACCAGGTAGTGTAAATGATGGGAGCCTGTCCTGACCGAGGAGGGATGTGCCCTGTGGGTATCAGTCCAGTCAAAAACCATGGGGATCCTTATTCCCACAGTTTCTCATGACCCTGCAAGAAAACAGCTTCAATTTCTTCCACTAAAGCCAGATGAGCAAACTGGACTTATCATCATATCCTTGAAACACCAGATAAAAATTGCAATATATCTGCCTGCAGGTGATGAGTACAATTATATCCCCCCTGCTGTTTCGTTGGGGTTGTTTTGTTTTCCCCCCCAAAGGAAAAAGCATCTTTCACTGCAGAAAAACCTGTCCTTCACTTAGTGTAGCTGGCAGCAGTAGGGAGAGAAAAGCGGCAGATTGACAGAGGAAAGACACACCAAAAGTGCTCCCAGAACGTTGCACAAAAAAGATAATCTTAAGATGTTGACCTCACAGAGAAGTGTGTATAATCAAAGAGAAAAACAGCAGTATAATGTCTTGGTTATTCCCTAAATGGGAATACTGTATACACTGCAAGCTATCCTACCTGAGAGCCTGCAGTAACATTTTTCTTCTGATTTTTTTTTCCTCCAGAACAGGAAATCTGACATCTTTAGAGGTTGACCCCCTTATTTCTGAATCCCCTGCTCTTTTTTTTTTTTCCCCATCTGCTTGATCATATTATGGTCTAGTTTTATCAAGGTACTTTGGGGTTGATAATTTGCAAGCAAACGGTGCAGCGGCATTAAATTTGTGCCCATGAGAAATCACAGGGGATATCATTTAAGCCTAAATAATTTAAAATAATAATAATAATAATAATTTGTTCCATCTCCTCTCCTTGAGTTCTTGTCGTCTTTGAATTTTTTCCTCCTTTAATATTCTGCCTATAATCCTGTTCTCTTCCAGACCCTGCTGTTCAGCTGTTACTGAAACATCGTCTTCAAAAACACCGAGCGGGGAAATGTTGATTTGTTTTGATCTCAGGGGAAATAATGTAACTCGGCGACAAGCCCACCACCAGCAACTCTTAATACCCAGCCAGACAACTCACAGAGAAATCACCTTGCTGTTGGGCTGCCTGTGCATATTTAATTGCATCTAATTCCTGAATGCTCCTACAACTTGTTTCTGCTCTGTGAATAATGGGGGTTTTGTTTCACTGGCTGAACCAAAGGAGACTAGAGGCAAAAAAAAAAAAAAAAGCACTGTAAACTGTTTGGTTTCATTTTCAGGTTCATCAATCCTCACCTTTTAAAACTAATTTTGTAGTTTTTATTATGAAATGGACAAAAAAGGGGTCATCTGCCATTCCCCTCAAAACCCAGCGGGGTGGTGGCCCTGTCATCCATCATGTACTGCTGGTGCTGTGACAGGACCATCACATTTCAAGGCATATGCTATCCTGTGTTTTTCCAAATCAGGTCAAAGCATCTTCTGCCATCATGAAGTCAATCCTGGATGGATTTGTTGCTGGCGTTATTGCTGCATTTGGGGAATTGTAGTATGTTTAGTTCCCATTTGAAGGTTCTTCTAGACCTACTGAGCTTGAAAGGTACGTTGGTGAAGGGTCTGGAGCACAAGTCTCATGAGGAGCAGCTGAGGGAGCTGGGAGTGTTCAGCCTGGAGAAAAGGAGGCTCAGGGGAGACCTTATCACTCTCTTCAGCTGCCAGTCAGTCAGTCAGTCTCTTCTCCCAAGTGAAAAATTATAGGACATGAGGAAACAGCCTCAAGTTGCACCAGGGAAGGTTTAGATTGGATATTAGGAAAAATTTCTTCACTAAAAGGGTTGTTAAGCATTGGAACAGGCTGCCCAGGGAAGTGGTGGACTCACCCTCCCTGGAGATATTTAAAAGGCATGTAGGTGTGGCTCTTGGGGACACGGTTTAGTGGTGAGTTTGGCCATGTTAGGTTAGTGGTTGGATTCTGTGATCATAAAGGTCTTTTCCAAACTAAATGCCTCATGAATCTACAAAAAAAACTCAACCTGGATTTTAATTACCATGTTTTTTTAGTCATGAACAAAATTAAAAAACCATCCATCTTCAATCACCATCATCTTTTTTCTTTTTTTTTTTAATTAGGAATTTTTGCTATACTAATTGTTACATTTGTCCATTTCCATCAAATCAAACTAATGGCAGCCAGATGGTCACGGTTCTTAAGATGCCTCACTCAGGGCTAATCCATCCCTCTTGCACAGAAGCAAGGAGCAGAGGGAGCCTCTCCCCTTCCTTCAGGCACCGCAAGGACAGGATTAAAAAGTACATACTTAGTCAGCAGGTGGCAAAGCTGGTGAATGTCACTGCTCTCCCCACAGAGCTGAGGTGGGATTATCCACCCCATTCTTACACTGT